GCGCGATATGCCTTTCTGATCAACCATCCAGGCTGTCTTGGGCTGGAAATTTGTTTTACTCTGTCTTTTTGTGGGTTCTGCTGCTTTAGAATTTGTTTAGAGTCATTTTTTGTGGGTATTTGGAGGTGTTTGGGGGAGAGCTCAAGCAAGTCACTGCTTTCATGCTGCCATCTTGGCTCTGCCCCTGCCATTTCAACTTCTTCATAAAGCACATTGAGTATTAGGCCTCTCCACTATGTTTTTTTTACATGTGTGTGATGCAACACCATTTATACTCTTAGTATTATAGGATCACAGATTTAGACCTGAAAAGGAACTTAGATGACATCTAGTCTGACACCATTATTTTATAGATGAGGAAAATGGACTCAACAGTAGCTGACATAGGTAACATAGTGTTGTACTGAGAAATCAGCGAGTGAGACCCAGACATATTTTAAAATGTGGATTTTATTAGCACGCGGCTGCAAGGGGTATGCACATCCAAATGAAGCAGCCCCGATCAGGGGTCGAGCTAGGGTTTATATGGAAAAGAGCATGGGAAAGAAATGCCAGGAACACTGATGAGGTAATCCAAAGGTGCAGGTGTCTTTGGGGGCTATGGATGGGAAAGTACAGGGAGTATACTGGACAGGGAGGGGGATGGATCTTTGGAGTCTGGCAGGAGGAAGAGTCCTTGGGCTAGTCAAGGACAACCCTCTCCCTCTGTCTTGTTGAGAGAATGCTCTGCAACAAGTGAAAGCTTTCTCACAACACAGGAACTCACTGAGGAATTGGGAGGCTTCCAGAGATATGATCTGAGGGCTGGGGCCTGAGCAGCCCAGCTCTGTGTAGCTGTACCAGGGAGAGAGATAAGGGTCATGCTGAGGCCCATGCATGAATAACTGCTAGGCACACTGTCCTTGAGCTGGGGAATGGTTGTTAGAGACAGTGTTTCTGAGACTAGGGAGAAACTGGGGCACAAGTACAAGCACGAGCACCCGAGCACCCCATCATTACAGGTCAGAGATCACACAAACCAGACCAGGCGTCCTGGTCTCTGGTATAAACATAATTATCTAACACAATTCTATTGCAAGCTTTCTTATCCATTTGCGTTGGAGGTACGGGCTATGCTGAGCTATGCAAGAGTACATTTCACTATTGTTTAGATTTAGGAGGAAAGAGGTCTGGGGCAAGATTAAGCACCAACTTTTGCTTTCCATGGCTTAAAGGGCCCTACTACCTAAATGGCAAAATAATGTTCTGCATTACAATGGGATATAAATGGCAGGGCTAGAATGAAAACCTAGGTAGGTCCTCTGACTCTAACTCTAGTGATCTTATCAATATGCCATTTTGCTGCTTCAGCTGTCCTACACTAATTTATTTCTTTTAAAAATTATATGTATACATATATGTATTGTGTATATATATGTGTATGTATATATATAAAAGCATATATGCTGAGCACAGTGCCTAGCACATAGAAAGTGCTTGATAAATATTTATTGTCTGCCTACACACACACACACACACACACACACACACACGAGAAAGAGAATCAAAGAAAAAGAGAGATTAGACAGGTATCTTTTTAAAAAAAAACAAACAGTTAAATTGCTCAGTAGCCACATCTGCTTGTATATGCAATATTCTATACCTGTAGTCTCCTAGGAGGAGAGATGTCTTTGATCCTTGCTGTCCACAACCAAGGTTGTTGGGTTGGTTTGGTTTTTTTTTTTTGGCAACGAATATCAATTCAGCTACCTTTTAGTGTTATTTTCATTTGCATTATTGTAGTCATTGTGTTCTCTTGGTTCTGTTTTCATTGCTCTGCATCACTTCATGCTGGTCTTCATTTTTCTCTGAATTCTTCATACTGGTTATTTCTGGTGCAATAATATTCAATTATGTTAACATTCCACAATTTATTCAGCCTTTCTCCAGCCAATGACTACTCACTTTGTTTCCAGTGTTTTGCTACCAGGAAGAGTGCTTCTATAAATATCCTAATGTTTTTCTATCAAAGGTAATATTTAGATACATTAATCTTAGTTAAAATAGGTCACAGAATCATAGATTTTCAGAATCTCAGATTTTGAAGGAACTTAAGCCATCTTAACCAGTGAATGAATAACAAAAACCCAGTATGATAGACCCAACAAGGAAAAAAAACAACATATACTCCATATTTTAGCTAAAAAGTCTATTGGAAGCACATTTATTGTTTTACAAGCATGTTATTTTAAAGAGAGTTTTGGTTCAATAGAGGTTCCCCCAGGTACAAAGAGAATTTCTCTGACTCAAGCAAATTTCTTTTTTTTGTTTTTTTTTTTGTTTTTTTTTTTGCTTTTAGGCAATTGGGGTTAAGTGACTTGCCCAGGGTCACACAGCTAGTAAGTGTCAAGTGTTTGTTCTGAGGCCGGATTTGAACTCAGGTCCCCCTGACTTCAGGGCCGGTGCTCTATCCACTGCACCACCTAGCTGCCCCTGACTCAAGCAATTTTCAACCCACATTTTTGTATCAACAAACAAAAGATGAAGGAATTCAATAGCAAGAAAAGGAGGAAAATGCCTGTAACTTGGGGCTCAAGCCTAGGCATTTGCAATAGATGTCCTCATTAGTAGAGAGAATGATTACTCAATATTCCATGCATAGGGGTGAAGTAAGCAGAGCTTGGAAGGTGGAACTTTTTTTTCTTACTTCTGGCTTTTAGAGAAGACTTCTGCAGTTCTGTGTTATCTTCAGGAAGAGGTCTTTGGAGGGGAGAGAAAAAAACCACTGGAAAGAAACCTAACTATAGAGGAGCCAGAGCCCTAAGAATGTCCCTATTTCAAGCATACCATGCTAGAGACTTATGGGAATTTCCCCTTGTGTATGAATGGGGGACTCACTCTGTCTCTTAGTTGAGTTGAGATAGTTCATTCCCCATGGTATAGCTCATTCTTTCTGTGTATTGCTCGGTATATGCAAATTTGTATAACTTTTCTGATTTCTGTTTGCAATTGGGTTGTTTAAATGGGTTTATTTGCTATTCACTATTATGATGTTATTCGTGTAACTGGCATTTAGTGGGGAGTCAATCCTTCAGATACAACTTGGGACATCCTTTCCCTCTTAAGGGATAATGACCAGGAAAAGTAATTGAAGCTAAAAAATAATTTCTTCTAAGCTAATATTTAGGGTGTTAGGGTTCTAACCTGATATCCTCTTTGAGAGGGCAGAGGGGCTAGTTTTGTGACTCCAATATCCTTCCCCTTGATACAAGAATCTCATTTTTCCTTGGAGAGGGGTTATTGAGATTCCAGAGATATTTATTTAAGCCTTCCTTTGAACTGTATTTTGACAACCCATGTGGACATACATATAAGCAACATGGGCAACCTATGCTTCTTACACGCATGATTTTCAATGATGAATCTGAATGATTTACCAAAGAGAGCAATGGTAATATGGGTACACCCTTGGGGAAGATTTGCCTTCTTTGAAAACTCCCTCCTTTGATCTGGTCAGTGGTTCTGACTTCACTAGGAATTAAGAAATTTCCTAAATTCTAATCTGGTCAATGATTCAAGAGAGATAAGGAGATCGAGGATATTGTTACAGAACTAATTCTTGGAGGCCTTAGTAGTAGAGGCTTCCATATTAACAAATGGCCTTCTAATCTTTGTTTGAACACCGCTAGTGAGGGAGAATCCATTTTCTTTAGTCTCAAATTATCGACTGCATTTTGGACATATTGAACTGGACATTCCATAGGCATCTCAAACTCAACGTGATCAAAGTAGAATGCCTTGTCTTTCACCCCAAACCCTTCTCTCTTCCCAATTTTCCTATTACTGTTGAGGGTACCATCTTTCTCCTAGACACCTAGTTCATAACCCATCATTCTTAACTCCTCACTCACACTCACCCCACAAGTGACAAGTCTTGTAATTTCTACCTTCATCACATCTCTCCTTTTTGTCACCTCTTCTCCATTCATGCTGCTGCCGCCACTATGGTACAGCTCTCATCATTTCTCTGTGGACTACCACAGTAGCCTGCAGGTTGGTCTGTTTTAAGTCTCTTTCTACTTCAATCCATTTTCCATTCAACTACCCAAGTGATTTTCCTAAAGTGAAGGTCTGACCATGGCACTCCTTTATTCATCTTATTAGTATTGATATGACATTCTAGCCTTTTAGGACACTCTTGGATCCTGATTCTCTTGTTTAGTATGGTAACCTTTTCCCTCCTAGCTTTCAGTCATGTTAAAATTTGATAAGTGTTACATCTATGCTTGCAGATATTCTTATCCTTATTCTGTGGCTGGGAAATTGAGGCACAGACAAGAGAAGTGAACTTACTTGAGGTCACACTCCCAGGATCCCAGCTAGTATTCAAGCCTGACTTTTCTGACTCTTTCTAGTATATCACTGCAGGACCCCAGAAGCCCCCAAACCTACACCCTAGAGATAGGTCTGGGCTCTGGGCTACAGAGTCCAAGCTTACTTTAGACTAGATACTGGCATAGCACATAGCCATTCTCCCACCTCTTCTCCAGGCATAACATGTACCCTGGGGACTCTTCAAATGCCCCAGTTTCTCACAAATGCCACATCAGGAGTGTAGGTAGATCTGACGATTCTGCTTAGAGGCTACCAAAGTATGCCGCAGTGCACAGATATTGGGCCTGGAGTCAGGAAGACCTGAATTCAATCCCAGTCTCAGATATTCACAAGCTGTATGACCCTGGGCAAATCACTTAACCTCTGTCTGCCTCAGTTTTCTCATCTATAAAATGGGAACAATAATAGCACTTATTTCCCAGGGTTATTGTGAAGATAAAATGAGGTAATATTTCTAAAGTGTCTAGCATGGTGCTTGGCATATAGAAGGTATTTAATAAATCTTTCCTTCTTCCTTCCTTCCTTCCTTCATTTCCTTCTCCCAACTTGCTTCTCTACCCCCTCCCCAAACCGAGCATCTGCTTTTTCCAGGATCCTAGTTACCCAGCCCTGGTTGTTCCCTGCAGGTGACTTTAAAGGCCAAGTATGGGCCAATATGGAAGACAGATATAGGCCCTTATAAGCACGTGAATCTGGCCAGTCCATCATTGATGGAGCAGCTGATGAGACAGGAGGGGCAGTACCCTATGCGTGATGACATGGCTCTCTGGAAGGCACACCGTGATATTCGAGGACTGAACTATGGGCCCTTCACCATGTGAGCTTGGGGACACAGGGATGGGAGGGGGCTTGGTCACTGCCAGCTTTAGTGGGCAGTAACCAACCAGGGCTACATCGGGAATGGATGAGTGAATGAATGAATGAATGAAGCTTTTATTAAGCACTTATGGTGTTCAAAGCACTGTCTAAGGGAAAAGTATAGTTCTTGCTCTTTAGGCAGATTTCAGCTGCAAGTCAGATGGAAAGTCCCATAGTCCTTAGGTTGCAGAAGCAAAGCAGATTGCCAAAGTCTTTTCTTTGATGTCATTTTCACTGATAAAATTGTATTGGTGTCTGATGTTGAACCATTTGATGGTACAATGTAGTGGGACCAGGTATGTGCCCATTGGGCCTAATACCAAGCCAAGACAGGAGTGTCTAAATTTCCTTTAGCAGAAGCTCAGAAGCCAGAAGTGTCCTGAGATCATAGACTTGGACCTAGAAATGACCTTAGAAGTGATCTAGCCCAGAAAGGAAAACTAAGAGGAGTGGGACAATTTACTTAATATCACATCCGGAGCCAGAATTGAAACCCAGGTCCTCTGATACTGAATTTAGCATTTTCTCACTGTACCTTGCTGACTCCTCTAGACAGTATTTCTTTGATTGAAAACATACATTTTCAAGTTGTAGTTAAATCATGATTTAACATATCTAAGGCTGTTAAAATGTAATATCACTTTAAGTCACTAGTCAGAAAATCATCAATTTTAATAAAGAAGAAAAAGGAACTTTTACAGAAAGCCTATTCTTGTTAATAACAACTCAGATTTATTTAGTGCTTTGCAGCTAGGTGGTACAGTGGATACAGTGCCAGGTCTGGAGTCAGGAAGATTCGTCTTTGTGAGTTCAAATCTGGCCTCAGACACTGATTACCTGTGTGACTCTGGGCAAGTCCCTTAACCCTGTTTGCCTCAGTTTCCTCATCTATAAAATGAGCTGGAGAAGGAGATGGCGAATCACTCCAGTATCTTTGCCAAGAAAACTCCAAATGGGATCATGAAGAGCCAGACATGACTGAACAATAAAAATGGCTTTCCCCATGATAGCCCAATAAGGCACATCATGCACCTGCTATTATTTTAAAGATGCAGAAACAGAGAAGCCAATCCATAACTAATAAGTAGGAGAGCACAAATCCACTTCCTTTGATTTCTAGTCTAGCTAGCTCTCTGCAACACAGTGTCTCTGGCTGTCATTGCTTTAGGTTTAACTGGTTAGACTTAGAAGGTACTCTCACAGGTACGTTTCAGATGAATCTGAAAGCTGTGCCAAGAGAATTAATTCCATTTGGGTTATTTTGTGTATCAGTAGCTGATGGAAATAGAACACAGAAGTCTAGGTCTAGAGCTAGAAGGACCTTGGAAGCCAAGGATACTAAAAAAATCGTGGGGAAGGAGATCAGTGAATTTCCACTTCATAGGGAAACAATCAGATATCTGGGGCATCATTTGACCAACAGGATTAAGAAATTGCCCTTAAAAACAAATATTTTGTTTTGGTTACTGGATGTCCCTGTCCTCTTCACATCTCAGGAAGAAAGGATCTCTTTTAATACTGAGAAGTGAGAATATTGAGTTACAAGGAACTCCTCCCATGTGTCCTTGCATGGCTATCGTTAAAACTGTTGCTCAAATCCTTCCATGTTTCAGCAGCATCAGAAAGTAAGACTGATTTTTTACCTTGTATTTGAGGGAATAGTCTTTGGATTGCTACATACAGGTCATACAGTTTTCTTTAACCCAATTTAGAGAGCCTCGGGTAAGAGAAGCATAATTTGGTTCATAAATAGCCCTCCAATTAGGTCAGCTAGGTGACACAGTGAGTGGATAGAGTGCTGAGCCTGGAATCAGGAAGACCTGAATTCAAATCTAATCTCATTTAGCTTCTGTAAAATGGGAATAATAGCACTTACCTCCTAGGGTTATTGTGAGAATAAAATGAGATAAAATTTGCGAAGTGCTTTGCAAACCTATAAGTGCCAGCTATTATCATCATCATTATTATTATCTTAGGCTGGGCACAGCTTAGTAAATGCCTGCTCCATGAATGAATGGGAAATCATGAAGCTGAGCTCCTACTATAGTCCGTGGCTTGTTATGACCTACTTAGAAAGTTTTTCTTAAAAGTTTCCATGAATGCATTGTCTCTCAGAATGGGAAGGAACCTTGATGATCATGATTCCCCTCATTTTACATGTCTCAAATATACGAATTACTAAGGAATAATCTCTATCCTACTGTGAGATCTTAAGCAAAAAGTATTTAGATAGGGGTTTTTTGAAAAAAAGAGAAAGCATTTTAATAAAAAATTTTGATTTAAAAATTTTAAACCTTTTCTTCCTCTCTCTCCTGTCCCTTATCTTGATAAGGTGGGAGTTTGGGGATCAAGTCCTGAGTGTCTTCCTTTTGAGAATGAATACTTTAGTACACAGCTGGGTGGTGCAGTGGATAGAGCTCAGAGCCTAGAGTCAGGAAGACCTGAATTCAAATATGACCTCAGATATTTATTAGCTATGTGATTCTAGGCAAGTCACTTAACCCTGTTTGCCTGTTTCTTCATCTATAAAATGAGCTGGAGAAGGAATGGCCAACTACTGTATTATCTCTGCCAAGAAAACCCCAAATGGGGTCACAAAGAATCAGGCACAGCTGAAAATGACTGAAAAACACTTTAGTAAGCAAGCCTTTTGGAGCGTGATCTCCCTGAGTAGATGGGGATATGCAGAAGCTAACAGAGTGGATGGATGATGGTGGGATGTGGGGAGGATGTTTCCTGGATGGGCCCCTTTCTCTTCCCTTCCTCTACCCTTGCATATTAAGATAATGTTAGTGTTCATGGCCTCTCAGTTTCCTAACCTGAGTAATGAGTGTTTTGGATTAGATTGCTTTATAAAGTTTTGTCTACCTCTAATTGCTCTGGGAACTGAGAACTCAGGCACTGCTCCTCTTTGTCCCTTAAATCAAATCCATGTTATTCATGCCCATCCTCTACCCCCCATTCCACATACCTGTTCCATTCTCCATTCCCATGCAGGCCCCTATGATCCTCTGACCCCCTCTACCTCTCTCCATTTGCTCCATGCTTGGGCCACCCGCAGGCAAGGGGAACAATGGTACCAGCTTCGTCAGGCTCTGAATCCCCGGATGCTGAAGCCATCTGATGCTGCCCTCTATACAGATTCCCTGAATGATGTAGTTGGGACATGCTGGTTCGAGCAGAAGAAATCAAGGCAAAGAGCCCCTCAGGGGACCAGGTGTCTAATGTTGCTCAACTCTTCTACCTCTTTGCCTTGGAAGGTATTTGGGGTCAGAGAATCAGGGTGAGGAAAAGGAGGCTGAGATTCAAGGGGAGGGGTGGTAACCACCACCTTCCATTGTGGAAGTTCCTTGTGCCCATTTTGTCTTTCCTACTTCTCTTCTGATAAATCTAGCTATTTCATACATCCTGTTTGAGAAGCGAATTGGATGCCTGAAGCGACCATCCCACCTGATACAGAGATCTTCATAAAGTCTGTGGAGTTCATGTTCAAGAACTCTGTCTTTGCTACTTTCCTGCCAGAGTGGACCCGGCCCTTCCTTCCTTTTTGGGATCGTTATTTGGAAGGCTGGGACAACATCTTCTCTTTTGGTGAGAGGGCAGGGACTGAGGCTGGGGTTTGAAGTCAGAGTGACCATTATGGGAAGGGTGTCAGGGGAGCCCTAGGTGCTGGTCCATCCTTCTCTTGTATATTGCCACAAGCTCCCTGGGAGCCCCTGACTAGTCCCAGAGACCAAAGGGAAGTCATCTGCAGATTTGATTTGAGGTCATGGCCTTGGTCCATGGAAGCTACACACCCTTGACCTCTCCTTTCTTACTACTCTGTGGTCTTTGCAGGGAAGAAGATGATTGAACAAAAGCTCAAGGAGGTGGAGGCTGAGCTGAAGGATGGGAATTCTGACAAGGTCCAGGTGTCTGGCTACCTTCATTTTCTGCTCTCCTCTGGACAGCTCAGTCCCGATGAGGCCATGGGCAGCTTGGCTGAATTGCTCTTAGCTGGAGTGGACACGGTGGGTCTGAGGGCCTATGTGGGAAACTAGGAAACCTAAATCACAAATTGGATGAGCTCTTCTATCCTCTGCCTCCAAATCCCTCAAGGTTTGGTTATTTGTATAACCCAGAATCATAGCATTGCAAGAGCATCTTGACAGGTCTTTTGGTCCAATCCTTTCCTAACTATGGGTAGGTCAACACTGAAATCATCCAAAATTAGCTTACTTTGGTTTTTAAACTGTTCTGACTATGTTGTGAAAGAGGCATTGGACCACAAGTCAAGGGACCTGGGTTCATGTCTTTTGAAAAATGTTGTTTATTTCTAATTTATTTATTTTTAACATTTTTTTATTTTTAAATTTTGAATTCAAAATTCTCTCCCTCTCCCCCTCCTCTCTTCCACTCACTGACAAGGCAAGCAAAATGATACCAATTATACATGTGAAATCATGAAAAACATTTCCATATTAGCCATATCACAAAAAGCAAAAAAATATAGAAAATTATACTTCAATTTATACTCATAGTTCATCAGTTCTCTCTTTTGAGGTAGATAGCATTTTTTCATCATGAGTCCTTTAGATGTAGCTTGGATCATTGTATTGATCAGAGTAGCCAAGTGTTTCATAGCTAATCATCATTACACACTATTGTTACTGTGCACCATGATCTCCTGGTTTTGCTCACTTTACTTTGCATCAGTTCGTAGAGGTCTTGCTATATTTTTTTTTACTGAAACCATCCTCTTCATCATTTTTTAAAGGACAATACTATTCCATCACAATCAGATGGCACAACTTGTTCAGCCATTCCCCAATTGATGAGTGTCCTCTCAATTTCTAATTCTTTGCCACCACCAAAAGAACTGCTATAAATATTTTTGTATAGATCCTTTCCCTTTTCCTTTGATCTCTTTAGGGTACAGACTTAATGGTGATATTGTTGGGCTAAAGGGTATGCTCTTTGGGCATGGTTCCAAGTTGTTCTCCAGAATGATTGAACCAGTTCACAACTCCACTAACAGTATATTAGTGTATTGATTTTCCTTCATCCTGTCCAGCATTTGTCATTTCTGATACGTATGGTGATACTTCAGAGTTGTTTCAATTTGCATTTCTCTAATCAATAGTGATTTAGAGCATTTTTCCATATGACTACAGATAGCTTTGATTTCTTCTTCTGAACACTGCCTGTTCATATCCCTTAACCACTTATCAATTGGGAAATGGTGCTTATTTTTATAAATTTGATTCAGTTCCCCATATATTTGAGAAATTAGGCCTTTATCAGAGAAACTTGCTGTAAAATTTGTTATGTTACTTCATTGTTCATTGTACCTTTTAGCAAAATGTAGTTTCCCTGATTATCTCTTTTAATTGGGCCTTCTTTTATTTTGCTCTTGCGTTGTTGAACATCATGATTGCTACCCCTTCCTTTTTTACTTCAGCTGAAGCATTATAGTTTCTGCTCTAGCCCTTTGCTTTAACTCTATGAGTGTCTTTCTATTTCGAATGTGTCTCCTGTAAACAATATATTGTTGGATTCTGGTTTCTAATCCATTTTGTTTTCCACTTCCATTTTATAGGTGAGCTCATCCCATTCCAATTCATAATTATGATTACTAACTGTATTTCCCTGTATCTTATTTTCTTCTATTTATCCTCCTCTCTCTTTTTATTCTGTCCCTCCTCAAAAGTCTGTTTTACTCCTTACCACTGCCTCCCTTAATCCTCCCTCCCTTTTGTCATCCCATCCTCCTCCAATACCTTTCATCCCTTTCCCCTCCTATTTCACTATTGGGTAAAGTAGATTTCTACACACAACTGAATGTGTATATATATTCTTCCCTCTTTGAACAAATTCAATGAGAGTGAGATTCAATCATTGCCCACCCCCTCATTTTTCTCTGCACTATTAAAGCTCTTCCTTGCATGCCTCTTTCATGTGAGAAAATTTCCCCCATTCTCCCTCTCCCTTCCCCCTTCTCCTAGTGCATCTCTCTTTCTCACTCCACTTTTTTTAGATCATCCCAACATAAATGACTCATACTCATGCCCTCTGTCAATGAAGACTCCTTCTAACTGCCTTAATAATGATAAAGTTCTTAGGAGTTACCCTTCCATATAGAAATAAAAACAGTTTCATTTTATTGAATCCCTAATGATTATTCTGTCATATTTACTTTTTATGCTTCTCTTGGGTCTTGTGTTTGAATTTCAAATTTTCTATTCACCTGTGGTCTTTTAATCAGGAATGCTTGAAAGTCCTCTATTTCATTAAAGATGTACTTTTTCCTGTGAAGGATTATACTTAGTTTTGCTGGGTAGGTTATTTTTGGTTGTAATCCTAGCTCTTTTACTTTTTTAAATATCACTCTCCAAGCCCTTCACACCTTTAACATAGAAGCTGCAAATGTTGTGTGTTGCTGATTGTGGCTTCATCATATTTGAGTTGTCTCTAGCTGTTTACAGTATTTCCTTCTTGATATAGGAGCTGTGGAATTGGGCTATAATATTCTTGGGAGTTTTCATTTTGAAAGTTCTTTCAGGAGGTGATTTGTGGATTCTTTCAATTTCTATTTTACTGTCTGGTTCTAGGATATCAGGGCAGTTTTCCTTTTTGTTTTTTTGTTTTTGCTGGGCAATGGGGTTAAGTGACTTGCCCAGGGTCACACAGCTAGTAAATGTTAAGTGTCTGAGGCTGGATTTGAACTCAGGTCCTCCTGACTCCAAAGCCAGAGCTCTATTCGCTGCGCCACCTAGCTGCCCCAACTTCTTAGCTTTCTTTAACTCTTCCAGGAATTCTTGTTGGGTTTGGATCCAATTAGTACTTTTCTTTGAGGCTTTGCTTGTATCTGTTTTTACATTGTTGTCTTCTTCTGAGATTGTGTCTTGGCCTGCCTTTGTCGTAGCTTTTCATGGTCAAGTTCTTTTTCTGTTGTTTGCTCATTCTCTCAGCCTATTTCTTGACTTTGAACTTTATGTTAAAGTCAGGCTTGCTCACCTGGGGGTGGAGAGGCACTGTCTCAAGCTTTAGGCTTTTTCATGTTGCTGTTTTCACAGCTAGTTCTGGGGGGTCTGTAAGTTTTTGGTTTTTCCAAGGTGGTATGACCTGGAGAGAGGTATGATTCCTGCTCTCCTGGTCTGTGCTCAGGTCTTTACCCAGGAAAGGCCCCTGCTTCCTTGCAGCCACAAACTCTAATACTCCTTTCTGACTTGGAACTTCAACCAGGGACCTGGCTCCATTGTGACTGACCACAGGTATTCCTTTCTCTCCTGGAACTGTGACCCAGAACTGCTTATGGACAATAGAGTTACCAATTAGTACCAGTTGCATCTAGGGCCAGCAAAGAGTCCTCTGTAATTTCTTTCTGACCACTTGTCTGACCCGTTTAGTATCTCTGGACTGAGAGCTCCTGAAGCTGTTAATGCTGTTAAGGCCTATCTGCTGATACTGTCCATGTGCTCTGGGCTGGTTCCCATCCTGGTATCACAGACCTCTCCTGCTGACTTGCTAAGTTGTTTTAGGCTGGAAAAATGTCTTACTCTGAACTTTTGCTGCTCCAAATTTCTATTTGAAGCATTATTTTAAAGTTGTTTGGAGGGGAATGTTGGGAGAGTTTGACTGGGTTGCTGCCTCTAATCTGCCATCTTGACTCTGCCTCCAAGTTCATGTCTTGATCCTACAACTAACTCATTGTAGATAACCTTGGCCAAATCACTTGTCCTCTTCAGGCCTCAGTTTCCTCATCTGTAAAATAATGATAATCTCTAAGGTCCCTTAGAGCTCTAGTTTTCTGCTACTGTTTTTAAAGACACATCCACACCTCCCCCATCCCCTGCCAAGAAATAGAGTATCCACAACCTGCTTCAATTATTTGTTCTAGGGCTTACTTTTCCCAACAGTCAGGAAATTCTTTCTGAGTTTGATAAGATTCTTTCTTGTTAAAACATAAGTGTATTCCTTCTTGGTCAGTCCTGTGCTGAGTCAGCGGACAGCTACTCTGCCGGTGCTATCCTCAGGACAGCGATTCATAGATTCAGTCTTTCTCTGCCTTCTTTTATGAGGCAGCACAGCAGGGTAGAAGGAGGGCCAGACCTTGAGTCAGGAAGACCTGGGTTCAAATGTCATCTCTGATATGAGTTGGATGACCACGCGAAAATGGCTTCTCTGAATCTCAGATTCCTCATCTGTAAAGCAAGGATGATAAAAATGCCTGCAGGATTTGCCTCAGTGGTTATCAAACAAGATGAAGGTCTATTAAAATGGCAGCTGTATACACCCTTTTCTTTAAGCAAGGCAAAAGCAGCTCCTTCAACTTTTCAACACAGGACCATTCCTTTGGACAGTTTGTCAACTGTTTCCTGGACTATTTCTTCAGCTTCTCCCTTTGTTTATATACACACAGATACATATATATACACACACACACACATATATACACATACGTATACACACACACACATACACACACACACACACACATACACATACACATACACATACATACATACATACACACATGTAGTTCCAAAAGTCTTGGGGCACCTTTAAGGTTTATTGGCTTAAAACTACATATAAACATATATGTAGTGTTATAGATATGCATATGTGTGTGTATATATATTTGTATTGATATCTTTTATTTATATATCTGAATATATATTTATATATGTTTATATATTCTGAATATATCCTGCCCCCCACCCAGCAAACCATGTAACAAAGAAGAAAAATAGCAGTTCAGTAAAACCAACCAAAATATCAACCACGCCTGATAGCATATATAATATTCTACACCCATAGGCCCCCACCTCTGTGGAAATTTGTCCAGACTTTTTAAAGTGTGAAGATCAAATTGGATATTATAATCTGATATGGATCTAACCAAGGGGTTGGGAACCTGTGGCCTCAAGGCCACCTGTGACCCTCTAGGTCCTCAGGTGCAGCCCCTTGACTGGATCCAAACTTCACAGAACAAATGGATTTGTTCTGTAAAACTTGTAATTTGTCAAAGGGCCGCACCCAAGGATCTAAAAGGCCACATGTGGCCTCAAGGCTGCAGGTTCCCCATCCCTAAGCTAACCAGTAGAAGATGATTTTCTGATTCTTGCTCATGATACTTCTTTTAAAATTACTCTTCTCATTGTATGAGATGGCACAGTGGGTAGAGTGCCAGGGCTAGATTCAAGAAGGCCTAAATTCAAATCCAACCTCAGACACTTCCCAAATGAGGACTCTAGGCAAATCACCTAACCTTTGTTGGTCTCAGTTTCCTCCTCAGTAAAATGGGGATGATAATAGCACCTATCTCCCATGGTGGTTATGAAGATCCAATGAGATAATTATAGAGTATTTAGCACAGTGCCTGGAACATAGTAAACACTATATAAATGTTAGCAATAAAAAATAATGATTATTACTCTTTTAAACATGAATAACTGAAGCATCATCTTCAGGTTGTGGTCTGCTCTGACCCCATGTAGCTTCGTTTGCCATGCTAATGCATAGAAGCTCTAAGGTCAGAATCTTGTAGCAGTAAAGGCTTTTTTGGAGTACTGGAGTCAGAAAATCTGAATTTGAGGGTCTCTCACATGTTAGTGTTAACTTTTTTATTAATTTATTTTGATTTATTAACAATCACTTCCATAAGCTTTTGAGTTTTAATTTTTCTCCCCCTCCCTCTCCATCTCCTCCCCAAGATGGTGTGCAATCTGATATAGGCTTTACATATACATTCCTATTAAACATATTTTGACATTAGTAATGTTGTAAGGAAGAATTAGAACCAACAGAAGGAAACACAAGAAAGAGAAAACAAAACAAAACAAGAAAAAAAATAGCAAATAGTATGCTTTGATCTATATTCAAACTCCATAGTTCTTTCTTTGGATGTGGATAGCATTTTCCATCACGAGACCTTTGGAGATGTCTTAGATCCTTGCATTGCTGACAAAGGCTAAGTCTATCAAAGTCAGTCATTGCACAATGTCGCTATTACTGTGTACGATGTTCTCCTGGTTCTACTCACTTCACTCTGCATCAGTTCAAACTTACCAGGTTGTTCTGAAGTCAGCCTGCTCATCATTTCTTATAGCACGATAGTATTCCATTACATTCATATACCACAACTTGCTCAACCATTCCCCAGTTGATGGGCATCCCCTCAATTTCCAATTCTTGGTCACAGCAAAAAGAGCTGCTCTAAATATTTTTGTACATATTGTACATTTGTACATATGGGTCCTTTTCCCATTTTTATGGGAATACAGCCCTAGAAGTGCTATTGCTAGAGCTGTGTAACTTGTTACTGCAAGTCATTTAGACTCTGAGCCTCAGTTTCCTTATTTGTAAAATTGGGGAGTATTAACAATACTTGCACCACCTACCTCCCAGGAGCCGTGAGAGGAAAATTAGACTCTACCCATTCCTCCAAATGACTTCAGCCATCTAGCCCTCTCACCTGTCCACTTTCCTTTAGCCACCCTCACACAATCTTGGACAGCCCTTTCATGTCATGTTCCTTGATTCTGCTCCCTCCTAGAGTGCCAACACATTGACTTGGGCCCTTTACCACCTGGCTCAGGATCCAGAGATCCAGGAAGCCCTGTACAAGGAGGTGGTGGGGGTGGTGCCTCCTGGGAAGATACCGCAATACAAGGACTTCGCCCACATGCCGCTGCTCAAAGCAGTGCTTAAAGAGACTCTTCGGTATGATTCTCAGGCTTTGAAGTGGAGGAAGGCCTAAGGAAAATCATAATGGAGAGGACAGAAGGGAAGTTCTAAGGGGTGGATGTAAAGATGGCTATAGCAATAGGAGCCTGGACATGGGAAATAGGGACCTGATTGGAAAGAAGGAAGTGGGAGGGAAGAGAAGGGGCAATGGGAAACTGATTCTGAAGAAGCAAGAGGAGTGGGAGGTGAGGAAGAGCATCTCCCTGCTTCCTTCCCAAGTCATGCCCCTGACTTCTTTTTCCCATAGCCTCTATCCTGTTATCCCCATAAACTCGAGAATCAACACAGAGAAGGAAGTTGTAGTAGGAGACTTTCTCTTCCCCAAGAATGTGAGTGGGGCTGGAGAGTTATGGGAGGTGGACAGATTGAGGTTGGGAATTGGGTACCTGGGGCGGGGATGCTAGAATTGGCAAGGGGGTAGCCATTAAGAAGAGCAGTGCCCATGAGTTCAAAGTGTTTCTGGGCTGCATGGATGCCTTCAACTCATCAGATTCAGAGCTAGAAGGCACTTCAGAGGTCATATAAAAGTAGTTAGGTGGTAGAGTGAATTTGGAGTCAGGAAGACCTAAGCTCAAACCCTACCTTAGCTTTGTGGCCCTGGGCAAATGAGTGAACTTTTCTCAGTTTCAGTCTTCTCATCTGTAAAATGGGGATAATAATAGCAGGGTTGTTGTGAGGACCAAATGAGGTAACATATGTGCAGCAGCTTTTCAAAACTTAAAGTGCTATATAAATATTATCATTATTATTGTTGTTGTTATTGTTAGTGGAGTAGTTATAATCTAGTCCATCCCTCCCCCTCCTCTCCCCACCTCGTTTTACTGATGAGAAATTTTAGGCCAAGAGACTTGTGGCTTGCCCAAGTTTACCCAGGTAGTAATAGAGCTGGGCTTCTAAGCTAGGTTATGTGACCCCCCAATATGGCCCTCTTTCCACCACATCTCATTGTCATCTTCTGTTATTCTTCTGCAGACCCAGTTTGTGTTGTGTCACTTTGTAATGTCCCGGGACCCAGACAACTTCCCATCTCCCACAAAGTTTCTGCCACGGCGATGGCTACGGAAAAACCAGATTGGGTCTGCGGGAGGCAACCATGCCTTTGGCACCTTACCCTTTGGTTATGGGGTCCGATCCTGTCTGGGCCGTCGAGTCGCTGAGCTTGAGATGAATTTGGTGCTGTCAAGGGTAAGGGATGGTGAAAACTGATGGAGGGAGTAATGGGAAAAGCTTACTGTGGCTGATGGAAGGGAAAATCAAGGACAGAAGAGGGATGGGCAGGTCTAACGGAGGAGGAATCAGGATACAGGAGAGGAATGGGAGGGGTTGATGGAGAGAGGAACTGGGGATAGGGGAGAGAAAAGGACTGGTTAATAGAAGGGACATGTAACCAGTGACAGAAGAGAGATGGAGAAGGGGTTAATCAAATGGGAAATCAGGGATAAAGGTGGGGGAAGGGGTGGTTAATGGAAGAGGGAACAAGAAATGAGGATGGATAGAGAGAGTTGATAAAAGGGGAACTTTGGGTAGAGCAGAATGAGGGAAGTTGATAAAGGGGAGAATCAGGGACAGCATAGGAATGGCAGCATTAATTGATGGGGGAGCCGGGGAGAGGGTAGGTACTGGTAAGGATTAATAGAGAAGGGATTAAGAGACAATGGAGGAACTAGGGTAGTAGTGGTGCTGCCAATGGAAAGAGGATTCATAATAAAGGTCAGTAAAGGAAGTGGGTGGGTATTCATGGAGGTGGGAACTAGAGATTTGGAACTGGGCTGTTGGAAAGTGAACTTATTTTGAGAGGGATATTGAAAGTGGCCACAGGGAGGTAGTTCTGAGGTGAATCCCTTAGAAGGATTACAGTGGTTTAAGCCCCAGGAAGGAAGGCTTTATGGAAGGTACTGGGGGGAGTAGGCAAAGGATACTAAGTTGAAGTCACTGATTACTTTTTCCCCTCCCCTCATTTGTTCCTCAGATGGTCCAGCAATACGAGATATCTCTAGCTCCTGGAATGCAGAAAGTGTACCCTTTGGCACGAATCGTCTTGGTGCCTGACAAGCTAGTTAACCTGTGCTTCCAGAAGAGGCACCCCTGAATCATGGGGCACCTTCTTGTTCTTAACTAGCCAGATTCCTTTCTCTGCTATGAGACGAGCCCAGACCTTAGCTCCTGCTGTGTATTTAGCATGCTTTGCCAGTCCTAATTGTAATGCCCCCTTACCTGAAAGACACATGATGAGCACAGGGTACCTCCCGAAGATCAGGAAGACCAAACTCTTGGGTTCTACTTTGTTGGTGCCTGCTCATATCTCCCTTCTTTCATGTCCTTGGTCCATGAAAACGCAACTAATAAGTTGACTTTCAATGATGCTGGAATCTGTCTGCTTATAACGTGTCTCAATCCTCCCCCTTCTGCTTTCCCTCTCCTCTCCTCTGTAGGTCTGGTGATAATAACAATATGTTACATTGGCATAAATATAGCAGTTACTTTTTGGCCTCACTATCCCAGAGTAAAACCAGGTACATCTCTTCCTCAGGGCTCTAGGGGTACCACTGAGGGGTTGGGATATCTGTTCTCTACGTCTGTACTACTATGAGCATAAGTACCCACTCCATGTTCTTTCTACAACAACCAATGACAAAGTGCAGTTTGTGTAAAAAGTTAGGATCAATCAGCTTTTGCAATGGGATATTTACTTCAAAGATATATCAAGATCAGAAATACAATCATTTCACCCCCCAGCCCCACCACAACACCAGAGGGATCCATTCTTCTTTATACCACTTCAGTCTCTGGAGAGACAGTGGGTTCAGACAATGCAGTTTCTGTATAGCATGGACCCTACTAATCTCTCATTCAAATTCAGCATCGCTTCTGGATGAATATTCATCTCAGCTACCCCTAGGCTGGGCGCTGGAGATCTTAAGAGTCCTCCTCAGGCCCAAAGCATGGCTAATCTCAACACCCAGGATGATCTCAACACTGGGATTCGTGGACTTCAGGTAGCTCACTTTCCTGACCTTTAAAAAACTCACTTGTAACCTTCAGATGAATCCTCTTTACCTAACATGAAGGAACAAACACCATGGGCAAAGAACCAAGGACTTTATTCAGTGTTGACATGTTGACCTTAGATAGGGGGGGCCTAAGCCTGTCCCATAATAGCAATGTCTCTATTCTCTCACCAGAACACCATCAGCAGGAAGGCATCGACTGAAAGGAATAAGGATGGGGCTGAGTAGTGTCATTGGAATGTCTCCCCCAGGTCTAGCTATGCAGCTGTAGACAATTGAAGGCACTCCTCATCACAATACGGTTAGCAGACAGGAACCAATTATAGAATTTCAACATGAGAAATTGCCTCAACAACACTCTTTGCAGGCTCATAAAGACTGGGCTTAGTGGACAGTTCTGTGTTACTTAGTGTTTTAAGTTTGGCAAAACATGGAATGTTTCTTTCACTTAGAAACGTACAATTTTAGAGCTAGAAAGGATCTTAGATTAGTAACATTCCCTTTACACTCAATCCCCTAGTACTGTAAGGTTGACTCTCCAGAGAGGTGACTGTTACCTCAAGTTCAAGGGGCAACAATTTGGGTTGGGTCCTAATACTGTAGCTCATGAGCCTCCAGTGGGGTACTTCTCATTAATAATCAGACAATAGACTTAATTATCTCTTAGAAAAAGAATTTACTTGAATGGCATTGCAAAAACAGCAGTTGCAAAGTATTTTCCCCAGAACCTGAGATAACACTCTCCCACAAATACATAGTTTATAGTGTGGCGAAGGCTGGGTATAAACCTATATCACAATGGTGATGAGACACTCAGGTAAGGGAACATATGGCTAAGGTAGCTCGTAACTGGAACTACAAGGCCTGGATATCTTTTCTTTATATAGACAGTCCTTACAAAGTTCACTGTTAGGCACAGAATCAGTGATGTACAAGTTACTTTGCTGACTCCTCAAAGGGTACAATGTGTCATTTGGATGAGTGACTCAGCTAACCCCTCACAGGGCATGGATAGGCATATCAGTGCTGGCCCGGGTCAAATAGATCACTTAGCTGCTGAATTGGCTCCTCACCAGATTCAACTGACTCTTCACAGGGCAGGGTGTCTTTGCAAGTTTATCTGCTGGATCCCCTGGGCTTACGAATTCCAGCTTCTTGCTTGGCTGGTTAGTAATGTACTGTTTCTGCTGAAGTATTACAGCCCTCTTTTCAAATGGAGTACCATTGCACTCTTCGGAAACCCTTATTCCAAAAATAATGGAAGGCTTTCTTCTTTGGCTCTGTTAGAGCCTTAGCCCCAAGATTTGCTACATCCCAGGTAGGCTGTATAAGAAGCATAGATTTTCTTTTTTCATAATTCTTCCTAGTTCAGAGCAGGATTCCCTCAGTGAAGGACCCTACTCCTACTTATGGTGACCAGTCGGTTCTATTTCCCAGGTTACTGTTGGGGTCTTATCTAGAAGGAGACAAAGGTATTGAGGTGATATGTGCTCTGAGGCACGTTCATTGTCTTTGCTGACCTTTTCATAGTCATTTAAGCTATTCAAAGTCTCATAGCCCTTTCGAGGTGTAGGTTGCTTTATTTACTGCTAGGTTGTACAATGAGCATTGAGCCTACGGTCAGAAAGACCTGAGTTCAAATTTGATTTCAGACACTTGCCATATATGTGACCCTGGGCAAGTCACTTAACCTCTGCCTCAGTTTCCTCATCTGTAAAATGAGGATAATAATAGCATCCACCTCTCAGGATTGTTATGAGGATCAGATGAGATTATAATTGTAAAAGTGCTTAGTACAGTGCCTGGCTTATCGGTAGTGCTATATAAATGTTACCTATTATTATTATTATTTACACCTGAAAGGGCTTCACCTTTCCATTTCCTTATTTCTTTGCCCTTCAAGATCTTAAACTTTGTGGAAATCCAAATGGGGGACACTTTTACAGATTAATCCGCATAGTAATAATGTTTAAAGAGGGGTAGGACAGGCATTATTTCCTCCATTTTGCAGATTAATTTAAAATGAAAGAAGCAAGAAAGAATGAAATATGGTATGATGACGGATAAGATCATAAGGCCTTAGTGCTTAGGCCTGGCACTGTGATTCACTTGCTATGTGGCCTTGGGTAAGTCTTGTCAGTTTTCTGGGCTATAGTTTCCTCATTCATAAAATGAGGTTTGCCTAGATGAATTTGAAGGCCCCTTCCAGTTCTTAAATTCTAAGCAACCAAAGGGACAGAGTGGTTAAGTGACTTAATGAAGGTCTTAAAACAAGTGAGTAGCATTTCTTTAACTAGAATCCAGGTATCCTGACTCCCAACTCTAGGTTTTTTTCCTCTTTCTGAAGTACTTATGAGCCTTTCTTTTTATGTGAAAAGACTTTCATGCTTTTGTCCTAATTATGAGAATTCTGAGAAACAAATTAGCGTATGAGCAGAATACATAGAGGAGGAAGATTTCCAATCTCCATTGGGAAAACGTGACTCTGAACTGTCCCTGCCCCCTCCACTGAGAACAGGAAGGAATGACCAGAGACTGTGGCAGAGAGAAATTCCTGAATGTTAAGAGTTGTAAATGGAGGAGCCAGGAAAATCCTGGGAGTTTCTTCATCTATAAAAATGAGGATGACAATATTCATACTACCTAGCCTGTAGGCTTGTTGTGATGAAAGAGCTTTAGAAATTTTTATTCCTTTCCTGGAGGCTTATTAAGTACCATGGTATAAGAAGAGTGGAATTTGAAACCTTAGCTCTGCTACTTAACACACATGTGGCCTGGGGCAAGTCATTTACAGTAACTTCTGTGGGCTTTTGTTTCCTCAACCATAAAATAAGGGGGTTGTATAAGATGTCTTTAAAGGCTCTTTCTATGTCCAGTCTCTAAATCTATGATTTTCAGTGTAAGGTCATTCCTAGCTCTAAATCTACTGACACAAGGGAGAAAGAGCTGGCCTGCCTGGAGGTAGGAGGTTAGAGGACTTGGCTGGCACCTGGCAAGAAGATGGTCTTGCTCTCTCTAATTGTGTGTGTATGCATCAAAGGTACCAAACATGTAATTCAAACACCTTTTTTTTTTTAAATTTTTAATCTTTGTGGAAGAAGTCACCCCTCCACATGTGTTGACCCATCCTCTCCCCTCAAGTTCATATTTGGTTGTAGAACCTGGAGAAGGAAGAGAGCTGGAGTAGAGAGAAAGCACCCAGCACAGTTCCAGGAAATGAGGATGAGGAAGATGAGGAGGCCTTGGGCAAGAGGAGTAAATAGGAGCTCGCATAGAAAGGTTCATGTGACTGAATTTCTAGGTCTCCAGGAAGCTCAGAGAAGGAACAGTAGAGGCACACATAAGAATCATACTCTCTCTTTGCCAAATGTCCATTTGAATCAGTGCCCTAGATCCTCTTATTCATTCATCTCACTGCTCAGAGAAGGAAATACAGTCCAAAAATAACAATGTCTAATAATTCAGTTCTCATGACAGACTCCTACAAGAAAGTCAGTCCCAACAGAAAAGTTCCCTGGACTTTTCCTGGAGAATTCCCAGGCCTTTCATAGACCTATCTCTTTTATCCACTCTTTTAGCCTAAGAGTGGGAGGGCATGGGAATAGCTCAGGTCCTTCTCTTGTTCCTGAGAAGTAATAGCAGAACCAGACTGGAGCAGGAACTGGTCCAGAGGCCTACCACAAGTTGATGGTGGAGGCCAGACTCAGACCCGTTTATTAACATTCTAGATCTTTCCCTGTGTCTAGCCAGGTTAGGTGGACAGCCACAGGTAGAGGCCTGAGGCTGCACAACTGTGATTCCATAGTGATACCCAACTCCTGTAATGCCAAAGTGGAAGGGGAAGAATTAAGGGGAGTATGGGAAAGATCATGGGAAAAGACATTAGGGAATGACAGTGAAAGACTGAGAGCCAGTCCAGAAATCAAAGGAGTTGGGTCCCTGTCTTATGTCCCAACACTACAAGGTATGGGCTCTCAAACCCCATAGCCAGCCCCACCTTGGGGACTATTGCAGATGGAAGGAAGGGGATTAAGGATATGGGGCATACATGGGGCTAAGAATATTCTCCAATGATCCCAGTGCCTGAAGGTCAGGGAGCTCTCATCCTGACCTCTACCATCCTGTGAAGCGTTGGCCTTTCTCAAAGGTTTATGGGAACAGAGTTTTGTTTGTATTAGGGAAGCAGAACTGGGGATGAAGATGCAGAACCTGTAAGGGAGGAAAAAAAAGGGCAAAATTGTAAAGCAGATAAAGTTGTCTCTCCTTCCAGCTACTACTGCCCTCATTCTTGGGTTCTGTATCCCAAATCAGGTTTTCAGTGTGCCTTTCCCCAGCCTGACCCCTTCCATAGAAAGATCATGCCTCTGGAATAAGAAGACCTGGATCTGAGTTCTACCTTCTCTTCGTGACCTTGGATGATACCTCTTTGGGTCTCACTTATAATAAAATGAAGCTATTAGAGGAGATAGTCCCCAGTGTTCCATTCTGTTCTAAATCTACAATCCTATAACCTGCTAGCAGGCAGGAAAGGGTCTGATTTGTAGTTCAGATTCACTCAAGAATCAATTTGTCATGTGGTCCTTTTCCCAAGAGGATGTGCATTTTAAGCCTCATCTCTAATTGTCTAAAAGGAAGGATTTATCCTGTGGGTAAAGGGATTTCAGGGAGCTGATGTCAGACTTGTTATGGGAGGTATGGACAAGGGAACCTTCCAAGGGACCCTGAAACTATAATTTGAGGCTTTGCTCCTCTGCTTTGACTCCTGACCTCCCCAGCTTCCTTTAAGGCCCAACGAAAATCCTACCTCCTACAGAAAACCTTTTCCAATCCCTCTTAATTCTAGTGTCTTCCCTCTGTTAATTTTTTCCTACTTATTTTGTACATAGTTTACTTTATATATATATTTACATGTTGTCTCCCCCATTAGATTATAAGCTCCTTGAGGCCAAGGACTGTCTTTTGTCTCTTTTTGTATCCTCAGTGCTTGGCACATAGTAGATGCTTAACAAATATTTATTGGATTGAATTGCTATTACATTAACTCTTCAACTACCCTTATTCCTGGTACCTCCTTGAAACTAGCTTAGACCAATTTTAATGTGGTCACCTAGGGTAGGGGAGAGAAACTCCAAATCCCTGCATAAAGTACTCTTTCCAGCCCAGGGAAGCCTTGTTGGAGCAGTGAGTGGTAAGCTTCATGGTTTTCGTAGACCTACTTGTTCAAGAACAGGGCTGTTCCTCTCCTGGCTGATCTCCAGGAAAGAGGTCTGGGAACAGGGCAAACCTGAGAGGGCCAGTATTGGAATTAGTAAACAAGGGGACAAGAGAGAGATGAGGAGAAGAGCAGAACATACCTGAGCAGGAGAGGATTTGGCTGAGAATGAGTGAGTGAAGGGAGTGAGCTCCCCTCCTCCTTCCATCTGTTTGGGGTGGGGGGTTGAGATTTGGAGCACTGCACAAGACACAAGGACACTGGGATTCTCAGGAACCAAGCGCATCAATGCCAGCGGGGCTGAGCACCAGGGCTTGGAGGATGTCAGACAGGGAAATGACACCTAACAAATGCTGTGATTCATCCACCATCACCAGCCGGTGAACCTGTGGGTACAAGGGGCTGGGATTAGCGGAACATGGCTGTGGCCCAATCACAACCACATAATTGTGTGACCGCATAATTGTAGCCCTGAATGGAGAGTCAGCGTCTCTGGGGAGTTCAGCTAATGAATGGGCAAAGGCAAGATGCGTATGCGTAAGCGCTAAGGGATAGGGCATCTGACAGGCACACATTGAGGCTCCTTGAACTGGGAGAGTTGTGAGTACCATGTGTGTAGTGATGGGATAGCTGAAAGTGGCCAAGTCCTATCCTGAGGTCAGAGTGAGCACTTCAAGGGTTCAGGGTCTCCCTGAGGATGATGAAGCTCTGTGTGAATGGGGTTGGGGTGGGAGAGGACATTGTGGAATGCTCACCTGTTCTCGGGCGATTCGGTCAATGACCTCACCCAGGCTTTCATGAGGCTGGCAGGAAATGATGCCCTCCAGACAGAGGGACCGCTGCCTCAATGCTTCACCAACACTAATGTCCAGGTGGTTGTAGGTCTTCTGGGCAGCCAGGTGCTAGAGAAGAGAGAGAGAGAAAGCAAGAAGGGAGTGGAGATTATCTCACCCTCTGGATTTCCTTCAGCTGTACAGAAGGTTCACTTCTACAGATTTCCACCTAGCTAACTCCGTCCTCAGACCACCCTCCTCCCAACTCCCAACAAACACTCCCATTTTCACCTCAGCCTCTCCACACTTTCCCCAGCTACTTTTAGTAGGATACTCACGATGACGTCAAATCGGGAATAGAGGCCCACAACCTGTCCTGGATTGGAGGAAGGAAGGAAGAAAGGAGTCAGAAGAACTCTAAGAAGTACTTGGAATGAGTTTAGCACCTACTATTTCTTTGGCTCATTAGGTGGCACCATAGTGCATAGATAGGGTGTTGAGCCTGGAGTCAGGAAGACTCATATTACTGAGTTCAAATCTGGCCTCAGACACTTAGTAGCTGTGTGACCCTAGGCAAGTCACTTAACTTTGCTCATCTCAGTTTCCTCATCTGTAAAATGAGCTGCAGAAGGAAATGACAAACTACTCCACTATCTCTGCCAAGAAAACCCCAAATGGGATCGGGAAGTGTCAGACACAACTGAACAACAACTTATTTTGTTGAGAGCTTTTAACTTAGCAAAGCATTTCCCTAAATTCACAGAATTTTGAAGCTGCAAAAAAGCTTAGAGATCATCCACATTAGATCTTTAGTCTTAGAGATGAGGCCTCAGAGCCCAAGGTAAGTTACACAAGCAGCTAGCAGCAGAGTTTCCTTCTACTCAACACACAGTTATTGCATTGCATCCCCAAACCTCAATGGATCCCCAAACCACCTCATATAAGTAGGTAAGGTAGCTCTTATTTCTCCCATTTTTAACTTGAGGAACAGAAAGTTTATGTGGCTGATGAAGTCACATGAACTTGAATATTGATTTCTTGACTCTCACTATATTATGATGCTTGGACCAAGGAGGAGTTCTTAATCTGGGGTCCATGAATTTTAAAAACATATATCTTTTAATGACTATATTTCAATATAATTGGTTTTCATTATAATCTGATGTATTTTATTTTATGCATTTAAAAACATTATTCTGAGAAGTGGACTTAACTAGACTTCCAGAGACATCTATGACACACACAGAAAAGTGAAGAAACCTATTTCTAAGCTGATTTTACAAAGACCCTCTGACCTCTGCCCACCCATCCCACAAGTCTCTTTTCATAGCCCCCTCCTGAGCACCACCCCCTGCCCTTGGCAAAGATACCAGATTCATTGACTACAGGCAGTGCAGACACTCGGCGGTCTACAAAAATGTCCAGCGCAGACAGGATTGGGGCTGTGTCCAGCACCACAGCCAAGTCTCGGAATGTGCCAATGCCCAAGTCTTGGATAGATCGGGAAAGAAACTGGGGTCTGGGCAGGAGTGCGCCCTGGGTGTAAGAGTTGGTTAGGGGTTAGGGAGGGGAGAAAAGGCCAAAGATCAGGAAGGAGACCAGAGCTCCTTCCCCAGGAACTCTAACCCAGATGCCACAGTGGGCTCAAAGCCTCTCTGCACCCTAACTTTCCCTCCCAAGATCTCAATCAGGGGTGCTGTACTAAGAGAGTCTTGGAAATATTGGGTAAATGCAAATCTATGGAGCTAAAGGTAAGGGTGGGATGGGGGCAGTTGGGGAGCCCTAGGAGCCCAAATTGGGCAATATGCCCCATAAAGCTCCAGTGGGATTAGAACCTCCCCTCCCCCATTCCAGAGGCTCTCTGGGCTTTTCCAGGTCTGAGTAGGGGCTTACAAAAATATGCAGGAACTTGAGCAGCCTCTTGTGTGTGAGGATGTGAAGCACATTGCCGGAGGCAGGATCCAGAACGGGCAGGCGGTGAATTCGGTTCTTGATCAGAGAATAAACAGCCTCAAACAGGCTGGGGAGGAAGGGCCAATGAGATGGAAGGATTAGAAGGTAGGGGAGAAGGGGAGTTTAATTTGGAGATGGACCCCTGGGCAAAACTTGAAAAAATATTAGCATATTTTCAATTTAATAATTTAAAAATTGCTGGTACCTTCATTTCTGAACATATCTTTTTCCTTGCCTCTACCCAGTGAGGCAAGCAGGGGAGAGTTTTTTTTTTATTTTTTATTTTTTCATTATTTAATAGTATTTTTTTCCAATTACGTGTAAAGAAAATTTTCAACATTCACTTTTGAAAGAATTTGAGTTCCAAATTTTTCTCTCTTCCTCCCTCCCCCTTCTCCAACATAGCAAGCAACAAGCAGGGGAGGTTTTGAGGAAAGATCTTCCACCCAGATGTACCCTACACACACACACACACACACACACACACACACACACACACACACACACACACACACACACACACACGGGACCTGGGGGTCAGGGCCATTCGTATTCTTTGCTTCTAAGGATTAAGGAGATGAGCCCACAATCAAGTGGGTTTTAAAAAGGGGGAGGAGACCCAAAAAAGATATTCAAAGACAAGATTGGGGAGGCGAACCTACCTGTCATTGGGTGAGATGGAAACCAGTGGCTTAAAAGAGCCTTGAAGGTAGATCTCTGCAGGAGAAGGAGAATCAAGTCCAGAGAGCTATACCCTCCTCTGGGGACTCCTGCAGACCTCTTCCCTCCCCTATTTCCCAGGTCTCCCCATTCCCCTTCCTGTACTTTTCATTCCTATGCAGAGCTCCCTTGGTCCCTTCCCTTAAGGCCCCCAATTCTCTGCTCACCCCTCCAGGTTTGGATTGTGTGTTCCTCAATTTCATAGATCTGAACCTAGAGATAGAGAGATAGCCTCTTTTGGTTAGGCTTAGGGAGTCATACTCAGGCTCCCCAGCTTTCCCCTCCCACTTTCCTTCAATCCAATTGAGCCATCTGTTCAGGACTCACCAAGGGTGACCTGTAGTAACGATGCAGTACCAGGATGAAGTCTGTGATCGTCAGCATGCCTGAGGAAGTGGGGGAGAGATAGGGATCTGATCAGCCTGGGGACCAGTCTCAGTCCTGGAGTCACCGTGAAGGGGCTTTATCTTGGTTATCTTTGCTGCTTCCTTTTCTCCTAACTCAGTGCCTAGTCAAGTGCTTAAGGCATGTTTGATGAAAGAATAAATGAATGACTGATGCCCCAAAGGTGGCAAATCTGAGACTCAGGTAGATATCCCATAGCATGGGCACTGCTGGCCAGTATTTATCATTCTTATACCACTGGAGGAAACCCTGAGGTGTCCTCTCTTTTCCTTTTCTCTCCTTTTTCTCTTTTTGTCCTTCCCTTCTCTTCTTCTACTCTTCTTTTCTTTTTCTTCTCCTCCTTTTCCTTCTCTGCCTGGCAGGAGAACTGAATGGTAGGAGTTTACCCTTGGTGCAGCCCAGGGTTGGAGAGGTAGATTGTTGAGCTGTTGTCTAACCATGGTTTTTGTTCTATGAATATCATCAGAGGATTATAGGATTTGGAGTGGGAAGGGACCTTGGAGATCATTCATTCCAGTCCCTTCATTTTGCAAGTGAGGAAACTGAGGCCCAGAGAGAAGTGACTTGTCAACATGACCCAAGTAGTTAAATGGCATAGCTAAGACTTGGGCCTCAGAGCTCCACCAAAGAGACCCCTGAATGCTCCGGATGTCTTCCCACCTTGGCCTGTAGGTGCTTCCCTACATATCTTCACCAAGACCTTTCCTTTCCCATTCACAGTCTTTCACTCACCCACAAAGCTCTGCTTCTGGTTGTCCCATAAAGGGGCTGCCCGTACCCCATTAGCCACAAGAGCAAAGAAGGCCTTCTTGATCTAAGAAGAAAGAGGAAATGATGCCATCTCTTGGTCAGATCTTACCATCTTGAACTCTGCATTAATACTACTGCTCCATTTACAGGTCAAGGATGTTGGCATTGGTTCAAGGCCTTCAAACATGTGGCCCCAACCTAATTGTCTTATCACCTTGTTCTCTTTTATAGAGTCTCTGTTCTGTACAAATTGGATGTCTCTCTTCTTCATTCTTGACCTGTCCCCTCCTGTCTCTGTGCCTCTGTTTACTCTCTTCCCCATGCTTGGGAATGATCTCCATCTATTAATAGCTCACTGTTCCTACAAGACCTCCTCCATGAAGCCTTCTCTGACCTCAGTCCCCAGTTGACCCCTACTCAAATGAACCTAGCACAGCCTATAACTTCCCTTTGTCTTGGTCTCATTCTTCTTGATTATAGCTATTTGGGTGCTCACCTGTCCTTGTCCCATTAGATCATAAGCTCCTTGAGACTAGGGCCTTGCACATAATAGGTGCTTAATATACCCTTGTTGAATTTAAGCACTTTTTTGCAAGGTCCTCCCTGTACCTTTACAACTATTCACATAGCCAACTTTCATCTCCGCTTCAGTTCCTCCATCCGTAGTTATAGCTACTGGGGAAGTTGATGCAGTTATGTATTGTGGAGGAGGGAATGGGGCATAGGGTCCAGGAAGAGTTTTAAACAGGGGTGGGGAACTGGTGGCCTTAAGGCCACATGTGGCCCTCTAGGTCCTCAAGTGTGTACCTTTGACTGAATCCAAACTTCATAGAATAAATCCTCTTAATAAAAGGATTTGTTCTGTAAAGCTTGGACTCAGTCAAAAGGCTGAACCCAAGGATTTAGAAGGCCACAGGCTCCCTGCCTGTGGTTTAGAAGGTCATAGTAAAAGGGGGAAGAGAGGGAGCCAGAAGGGAGGAACCAAGGGAATTTGGTGAGGCCATGCAGGAGAACACCTATGGGCCACAGTGGGAGGGGTGTCTGAGGGTCTAGAGGTCTAGGAACACTCTTGTTTATGGATTTGGGGCTCCAAGGTCCCAGGGAGATCTAGGAAGACCTTTGAGTGTAGGTGTGGGGATCAAGGGAGCACAGGGAGGCCCTCACCTCTAGCATGGTATCAAAGATGACCAGCTTTGAGCTGGTAGCCATGGCATCATAGCAGCTATGCTCCTGCATGAAGTGCATGTAGATCTGGGCTCCTGGGCGGAGCACTTCTTCATCCCAGCCCAATTTGGGCAGAAGGATCTGTGGTGATGGACTTCTGGTCACTCTCTCTGGAATCTCCCCTTCCTGCCCCACTGATAAAGTCTCTGGCTCCAGGGATATGGCCCCTGATGGTTCAGATGTGAGCCCTGGATACATGGGTGTGGAGTCCAAGTCTATGGCTTCTAGCCCCCAGCTAATGGAATCGGATCCTGGGAATGTGGCAGCTTGGCTCAGGGATATGTCTTCTGAAGAGGTAGACATGGACTCAGACCTTGCCAGGACACCTGCTAGGAAGATGATGATAACATCTTACATTTAACCAATGCTTTCTACTTCGCCAGTAACTTTCTTATTTTGTCCCCTCAGCAATCCCATGAAACAATGGCTGTTATTACTCCAATCATACAGATGAGAAAACTAAGTTGCTAAGTTGTTGAATAAATTGAGGTTTGGAGATATGAAGAGGTTTGCCCAAGGTCATGCAGCAAGCTTAAAGAAAAACTGAGGCTAAAACTCAGGTCTTCTGACTCCCAGTCCAAAGATGTTCCACATAGCCAGTTTGTTTCCCAGAAGGTGAAACTAAAACATTGAGATCATGGCCAGGTCCTAGTCCTGAGATCTATAGGAAATCAGAGGCATTCTAAGCTCCAGTTTTCCTTCCCCTCCCCAATGGGCCCATTCCTCACCCTGGGGGCTGTTTCCTTCTTCCAGGATAAGGGAGTATCCCTGTTCCACAACCTCTTGTCTTGTCCACCTGGAGGCCTTGGCTCCCTGGTCATCACAGCTCTTCTCTGGGCTGGTATTCATGCAAGGCAGTGGTCTTGAAGGGCTGTCCCCTGAGTAGTTCATTTCTGTATGAGAAAATAGATCTTGGGTAGGAGAGAAAGAGAGAACCAGTGAAAGGGAGAGGAGATGAGTGAAGAAGAGACAAGATGGGAGAAAGAGAAGGAGGAAGAGGAGGGAACAAAGATGGAGTAAAGAGGAAGAAGAGGAGATAGTGAAAAGGAAGGGAAAGGGAAGGAAAGATATAGTGGGATATTGGGATGAGGTAACCAGGATAGAGGGATTTCAGGCAAAGGAAGAGGAGGTAAGAGATGTGGGAAGTGAATGTGGGGCCAAGCAGCAAATACCCACCTGGTTGTTCCACCATGTCCCACATGGTTGTTTCAAGACAAGGTCTGTGAGAAGAAGGCAAGGTGAAGGACTAGGAGAGGAAGGTAACTCAAGCCCCAGCTTCCCTGAGCTTGAGGGACTGCAACTATACCCCACCCTCTGTCCCTTCAGACTCCCTCTATTCCCTCCCTGGGGCCCCGTACCCAATGTAGGGTGTGTTCCTGCTCAGGCTGCATCCGGCCAGTGTCCTGCTGACTAAAGCTGTGGCAGAGACTATTCTGGGCCCCAGCTCTCTGGCTCCCTGCCCCCACCAGAGGATCAGTTTCTCTTTGGCTCGGTGTCAGACCAATGAGTGGGAGGGGCTCCTCCTAGTCCAGCTGCCCCAGGCCTGCCTGGGCCAGCAACCCTATGGACACTCGCCAGCCTTGGAGACAGGAAGAAGCATACAGGTGCTTTTTGGGTGGTGGGGGGAGAGAAACATTCAGATTATCTCTGGGACCCAAGAAACCTGCCTCCATAGACTTTCCCTAGCACTTCCTCTATGAAAATTTAAAGAAGATTAATACAAGAGCAAATCAGTTCACAATAGGAGTCTATGGGAAATGAGAGGTGGTAAGTAGTGTAGGTGGGAGCAGATGAGAGCTAGCCAGAGGCCTGCCCACCCAGCATGAGACTTTCCTTTCTTTGGTTAGCAACTACCCTCAATCCCTGGGGGAAAGATGTCAATTTTGGGGTGTAAATGGGGAGATTGAGTCAGGGAGAAATAGGGATTGGGAGGACAGGGAGGCATTTGCCTCGGGGTGGGGTACAGGGTAGAGAAAATAATAGGGGAGGGGAATAGACAGAAGACCAGGAAGTACTGAAAGCAGCCAGCCTTCTAGGGCAAGAGGGAGTAGGGGATGAAGAGCCTTCCTACAGGCAAGCAAAAGGTAATAAAGAGCTCTAGAAGGGAGCAGAAAGGCAGGGTTATGGGCTCCAGTGCTTTCAGAGCCTTGGGGGCTCTCTAATAGGTCTTGGGGAAGGTGACAATTAGTTTTCTCACCCCAGCCCCCCAGTCAGGAGAGTTATTTTGGAGTGTATTAGAAATAGGGCACTTCAGGGTCCAACTAGACTCCCCTTTTGCCTGTGAAGTCCTCACTGTTCTTTGTGCCAGCAGGCTTACAGCCCAGTTCTGGTATCTAACCTCCCTGTCCCACCCCTTGGCATGCCTGGAGCTTGAGTCACAGTCCTAATGAGGAATGCTGACCATACTCCCCTTGGTTCTCCCTCCCCACTCTGAGGCCTAACCTCCCTTCCTTCTGAGTTCTTTCCCATGATTACTCCAAGCCACCTTTCCTAACTTCCTTCTCTGGGGGAAAAAGTGGTGTGATGGGAAGTGCTCTGGGACTTAAGACCTATGAACAATGCAATGTTCATAGACCTGGGCTGTAGAGGACCGTGTTGAGGTGTGCTTCCCAGACCCTGGCCCAGACAGGATGGACTATAGGTGCAGAATGAGAAAGACATTTCCAGACATGGCCAAGGAGGGGATTCATTTTGCTTGGCTGTGATTATATGTTGCAAGGGAGGATTTAAAAATTTTTGTATGTGTTTTGGGGGGAGGGGCAAATGATAGTGATGCCAAAAGTCAACAAGTTAACAAGTATTTATTAAGCACCTACTATGGGCCAGGAATGATACTAAATGATAGGGACACAAAGAAAGGCAAAAGACTCTCAAGGAGCTCACAGCCTAATCGGGGAAACAACATGAAAATGACTGTAAGCAAATAAGATGTATACAGAATAAATTGATACATACAGACTAAATAATCAATGGAGAGAAGGCACTAATGTTAAGTGGCATCAGGACAGGCTTCCAGTAGAAGATGGGACTTTAACTGTGAAGCCAGGGGGTGGAGATGAAGAGGGAACAAATTCCAGGCATGGGTATTCATATGAACCAGTGAAAATGCCAGGTGTCTGCAGATAGAGTCAATATCTTGGGCTTCTTGCAGAGAGATTTGAGTTGAAACTTCAAGGAAACTAGGGAGCCTGGAGGCAGTGATGCAGAGGGAGAGAATTCTAGGCATGAGGGAAGCCAGTGATAATGCAGAGTTGAGAGCAGGGAAGCTGCTAGATGAACCAGTGGCTAGATGCTGAGCCTAAAGTCAGGAAACCCTAAACTCATAGCTGACCACAGATGCTTACTAGCTGTGTGACCATGGACAAGTCACTTAATCGCTGTCTGCCTCAGTTTCCTCACCTGTAAAATGGGAACAATAAAAGCACCCACTCCCAGGGTTGTTGAAATGAGAGAATTTATATTGTATTATATTATATTGTATTATCTTATCATATATTACATCATATTATGTTATAATCATCATCATTGTGAAGGAATATAAAGGAGACCAGCGTTACATGATTGTTAAGTACGAAGAGGCAGTCCGGGTGGAGTTGGGTATGAGAAGACTGGAAAAGTAGGAAGAGTCCAGGTTATGAAGGGCTTTAAAAGTCAAACATAGGATTTGGTCTCAAGAGAAGAAAGAAAATAGTGTGATCAAAACATTTAAAAAATGCACAGAGGAAAGAACAGAGAGAGGTCAGAGGAAGACACAAACAGGACAACTTTGAAACAAAATGTTGAATTTATTATGTACTTAAAGATGCAACTATGTAACGGAGATACACAGTTTCACCTGTAATCATCTTTTCTGCTATTTTGTATATAGATAAATTTATGTTTGTTGGCATTAAGTTCAGAATAAATAAACTGTAAAGTTTAGAATAAAAAAATATGATTTTTTAAAAAAAGTGTACTGGGTTGGAGCCAGGACACCTCATTTTCAGTACTGATTTTGCCATTAACTTTCATGACCCTAGGTCTCAGTTTCTCTTTCTGTAAAATGGAGATAATAATACCCTTTTCAGTGTTGCTGTGAAACAAGTTAAACAATTAATCAATAAACATTTATTAAGCACCTCCTGTGTGCCAGGTACTATGCTAAGCAGTGGGGATTCGAGAAGAGGCAAAAGATAGTCCTGACCTCAAGGACTTTACAATCTAAAGGGAAGACAACATACTATATATAGATAGATAGATAGATAGATAGATAGATAGATATATATATATATATATACATACACATACATATATATACGTACATATATATGTGTGTGTGTAATATATATATATATATATATATATATATATATATATAAAAGCAAGCTATACATAGGATAAATAGGAAATAATTAACAGAGGGAAGGCGCTAGAATTAAGAGGTGCTGGGAAAGGCTACCTGCAGAAGGTGAGATTTTTCTTGGGACTTGAAGGAAGCCGGTGTGTAGCTGAATGTCTCAGGAATAGGAGATAGCTGGAGAAAGGGCCTAGAGTAGAGAGATTGTCTTGTTTGTGGAGGAGATAGCTGGAGAAAGGGCCTAGAGTAGAGAGATTGTCTTGTTTGTGGAACAGCCAGGGGGCCAATGTCACCAGATCAAAGAGTGTGTGTTGGAAGTAAGGTGTAAGAAGACTAGAAAAGTAGGAGGTGCTAGGCTATGAAGGGCTTTGAATGCCAAACAGAAGATTTTGTATTTGCTCCTGGAGGCAATGAGTAGCCACTGAAGTTTACTGAGTAGGGGAGTGACAAGGTTGAACCTGCACTTTAGGAAAATCCCTTTGGTAGCTGAATGGAGGACAGATTGGAGTAGGGAGACAATCCTACCAGTAGGCTATTGGGGGTGAGATAATGAGGGTCTATCCTAGAGTGGTGGCAGTGTCAAAGGAATAAGGGAGCAAGCTTTCTGAAAAATTTTAAGTCTTACGGAAATGTAAGCTATGATTCCTTTTTCCTTTTTTCTTTTCTTCCTGAGACAAATCCTCACACCCCTCCCCATGCCATCTCTCTACCTTGTAGGTCCATCTGGACATTAGATACTGACTTCCAGATACCAAGGTATATGGGTAAATACCAGCTTGGCTCAAATAAGGACATAGAGCTTGTATTCTATAAATTCATTCTTCTACCCAGAGATTTACTGGCAAGCAACTCTGAAAATGTACCAAACTGTTAACTATAACCATAATTATTAAGTATAAATGCACTGCACTATTAACATTTTCTCCATCACTTTCTTAAGTCTAGAGACTGGACTCAGGGCTAGACTAGGTCTAGACAATCAACAAAACAATAAGTGAAAGACTGATTTGTAGACTTTCAAGGTGTGAATGCTTACACTGAAAATTTAATAAGAAACTCTCACAAGGGGGTTTGAGTTGGCTTCAGATCATCCCTGTTTCCACCCCTAATGAGACATCTCTCTTCTATCAAATCCTGTCCTGAAACAAATCTTCCTAATCCCCTAGGCCTTTGCATATGCATTCTATCAATACAAATCCTACACATCTGTTCTGATTTGTGAAAAGAGGCCTTGACTGAGTGAGAGACAGGAGTCCTGGGTTCTAATCCTGACTGCCAGTGTTTAGTCAAAGTGATGTTGGTTGGGGCAGCTAGGTGGTGTAGTGGATAGGGCACCTGCCTTGGAGTCAGGAGGACCTGAGTTCAGATCCAGCTTCAGACACTTAACGCGTACTAGCTGTGTGACCTTGGGCAAGTCACTTAACCCCTTTGCCTAGCCCCAAAACAAACAAACAAAAAGCCAAAAAAAACCCAAAGTGATGTTGGTTAAGTCACTTTGCTGACCCAAGCCTCAGTTTCTTCATCTGCAAATAAACAGGAAGAATAAACTCTGCTTTTCTCTTAGAAGCATTATAAGGATCCAGTAACTATATGAAGTGAGGCATTATCATTATAATTTTTTCTTCCACATTAAGTCATAAAGCATATAAATGAGATTCCAGACTTGAACCTTGTCCTGTTGTTACCTACCAGTCTGGAGGTTTTTGTCCTCTGTAGGGTAGCTTCCTATGTTAATGTGCACATCAATTCCATGGTAACAATTTAATAGCACTTACAGGCTCACAACTCTCACCCATCTGGCCTTCCCCCTTTTCTCGGGAACATTCCTCCACTACCATAGTAGCGTCTGAATCCCTGATCTCCTACTACCCTTCGTTCTTCAATCTTTCACAATCTTTGAACTTGGTTCTTTTACTTAGACTGTGTAGGTTGGCTGAGGGAAAAAAATGATGGTGGTTTCTTAGGGTCCAGCGTCCCCTGCTGGTT